GGCCTATAAAATACTATTATGTTAACATCACACTTCTAACAGTCAAAGCTCCCAATGAGCTTGTTAATCCTTTTTTAACAAGAATAGCAAGTTTTCATTATAAAATCACCAGCAAATTAAATATTTTCTAGAATTATCCTAGTGATAATGAAGATAATTTCTGGATTTCACTCTAAGTAAAAATTCATGCCAAGTTAATACTACACCTCTAGTACTTTCAACTTTCTTTCAGTGTTTCAAGTAAAAACATGACACAGGAAGAAACAGCGGCAAAGCCTATGTATTTAATATCATAACAGGTTGTTATTAATAGTACCAGAATCCATGCCTTACACGCATGAGAGATTTTATCTCGATACCTAATTAGAGATAAGTCTACGCCTGACACGCGTTGCCAGTTAGTCTTTTACCGTGAAAAAGACACCAGAATCCACGTATGGATGACTTTATCTCGATTCCTAATTAGAGATAAGTCTATGCCTGACACGCATTGCCGGTTATTCTTTTACCATGAAAAAGACATCAGAATCCATGTATGGCAGACTTTATCTCGATCCCTAATTAGAGATAAGTCTACGCCTAATACACGTTGCCGGTTAGTCTTTTATCGTAAAAAAAATCAGAATCCACGTCTGGGGGACTTTATCTCGATCCCTAAATAGAGATAAGTTTGCATCTAACATATGCTGCCGGGTGGCTGATTCCCACAATAATGGTAAAGTCTACGTATTCAACATCGTAGCATAAAAAATCCATATCTTTCACACATTGAGAACTTTATCCCGACTCCTAAACAAAAATAAGCCTACGCCTAACACGCGCTGCCGGGTAGCACATTCCCGTAAAAATGACAATGTCTATGTATTCAATATCATAGCACTAAGTCTAAAAGAGTTTATTCCTTTAGCATAACATTACAGATGGAACAGATTTAGACAATCCACATGCTACCCCGATTCAAACGGTAGTCGGTAAAGGCTTACCAAATCTGTTGATGGCTAAGGGTTTGCCAAAAATCCTATGCATATTTGCAGGCCCATCAGCTTAATGGATGTGAGCCGAGACTTGAAACAAATGAGCTAAAGATAAGTCTTAAAGATTTAATCAAAAATGCATGAAAGCCATCTCCGCGTCTCAAGTCAAAATGCCGAGGTCAGACCCGCGTTGCAAAAACCACAGCACCGAGGTAATGCCCGGGTTCCAAAATTTAAAACGCAAGGGTGAGACCCGCGTCTCAAGTTCAAAACACAGGGGTCCACCCCCGCATTCCAGAAGCAGGATTATGATGCATACCTTCATACGGGTCCTGTATGGCAAATCCCTTCAACCAAGATACCTTCAAAGCGAGTGCAGAGAACGATTCCTTTATGATAAGGAATCAACAACTCCAAGATTAGAGTTGAGTTCTAAAGTATTTCGAAAATTTGTCCAAGTCAACCGCGAACTTTCGAAAACTTTAGAGTGGGCTCTGTAGGTTGTCTAAAAATCACTGTAGATTGCTGATCCTCATCAAACACCGATGATGGAAGTTATAATTTGATGGCTTTCAGAAGGCTACAATTTAAAAACTATCATGTAGATCAATAAAGGTTATAATCTGATGACCTTCACAATAACTGATGAAAACTCTAATCAACAACCTTCACAATTAACATCGGGAGTTACAATCTGACCACTCTCATATTTTTAAGGAGCGAGACGAAGGTTACAAGATGACGATCTTTGCAACACTCTAGCAAAAGAGACTACAAATTGACGGTCTCTTCAAATCAAAACACAGATATCTCTCAAACCGTAAGGAATTTGGCAAAATAGAAAAGATCAAACAGAACCCTATAGGGTCAGTTTGGTTGGCCCCGTCTCGTCGTCATAGTCAATTTTTATATATAATTTGTCCAATTCCGACTTACGGTTTGAAAGTTATGACCTGTTCTTCACATCATATGTTCCAAAATCCGTCTGTAAGACTGGACTTCATCTGAACATTGAACTTAGACTAAAGCTCACCAAGATCGCCTGAGGCTCACCTCTGTGTTTCAGAGTTAAAACGCAGAGCTCATGCCATGTTCAAGTTCAAGTTCAAAACGCAGGGTTCATCCCCAACATTCAAGTCCAGACGCAGAGCTCGTTGCCGGGTTCCCAGAACAAAACGCAGAGATCCTCCATACATTGCAACACCAAAATGCGGAGGTCATCCTCGTGTGACAGCAACAAAACACAGAGGTCCTCCCTGCGTTGCAATATCAAAATGCAGAGGTTGGTCAGTCCTGCGTCACAACATCAAAACGCAGAGGTCATGCCCACATTTCAGATTCAAAACATAGGGTTCATCCCTAGCGTTCCGGTTGAAAACGCATAGTTCATGGACTCAAAACACAGAGTTCATCTCTGCGTCCCAACTCTGCGGATTTACAACGCTGTGCGAACACAACGGTTTCAGCCTAAAACAGGCCCAACTCTGCGTTTCAAGTCTAAAACGCAGAGTTTGGACCTAGAACGCCATTTTTGGCGTTTGACTCGTTCAAGCTCGAGCTGAACGGTTCCAGAAATCATATTTTCCCTCACGATTGGAGGGATTTCCGCCCTATTTAGGAGCGGATTAAGGGGCCAGCCCTATAAATATGTGTAAACTCAACTGAGTTCGGGCTAGCTTTTTGGGAGAATTGCTGAATAATTAAGATCGACAATTATCTCTTGGAGCATCTTCGAATCTTGGAAGGCCTAGAGCATCATCATGAGCCATTCTTAGAGCTTTCCTACTTGGCTTATAAATCGATTTTCGGTTCAAATTAACTCTGTTACATAGTTTAAACTCGCTCTGAGTTCTTAAACTCGTTAAGAGTTATTTTTAGACTTACCACGTAAGTTATCCTCGACATCAACAAGAGGAATCAACCACGTTCCAGTGAAACAAGATGTTCAGATCGTCAATGAGAAGCAAACTCGACGCGAGAATTCGAGGGAGACATCTCATCGCTACCGTGAAGAAATCAGAATTAAACAAATGAGAGGATTTATATTGATCTTCTTCTCTTTTGTAATCGAAAATTCAAATTGTAATCAGTTAGAGATTGAGAGAGTTGTAAACATTCTTTTTCTAAGAAGTTAGACGGAATAAATCAAATTTAATTCTTTCATTTTCTTATTATAATTTTTTCCCCAAACACACAACATCCAGTAATCTACTGTGATAATGTGGGCGCAACAAATCTCTGTTCTAATCTAGTCTTCCATTCTCGAATGAAACATGTGGCTCTCGACTTTTACTTCATTCGACAACAAGTTCAAGAAGGCATCTTATGGGTCACTCATGTCTCTTCCACGGACCAACTAGCTGATGCACTCACCAAACGACTGCCATGCACGCGTTTTCATAACTTGCTGATCAAGATTGGTCTCTCCTCAAGGAGCACCAACTATTAAGGAATTGCAACCAACCAGACGAGACGAAAGGTGGTCTTAGTCGACACGCCCTACGGTGTCAGTCGAAACGTCATAATAAGGAATTGCAACCTACCAGACGAGACGACACACCCTGTGTCGACTCGAAAGGCGGTGCTAGTCCACTCGAAGCCAGTCGACACGAAGCCCGACCGAACGAGACGACATCCCTTGTGTCGACACGAAAGACGGTCTTAGTCGACATGCCCTACGGTGTCAGTCGACACGCCACATTAAGGAATTGCAGCCGACTAGACGAGATGACACCCCCTGTGTCGACTCGAAAGGCGGTGCTAGTCGACTCGAAGCCAGTCGACACGAAGCCCGACCGAACGAGACGACATCCCTTGTGTCGACACGAAAGACGGTCTTAGTCGACATGCCCTACGGTGTCAGTCGACACGCCACATTAAGGAATTGCAGCCGACTAGACGAGATGACACCCCCTGTGTCGACTCGAAAGGCGGTGCTAGTCGACTCGAAGCCAGTCGACACAAAGCCCGGCCGAATGATACGACACCCCTTATGTCGACACGAAAGACGGTCTTAGTTGACACGCCCTGCGGTGTCAGTCGACACGCCCTGCGATGTCAGTCAACAGGCCCTGTGATTCTTTCCTATTGTATGATATTCTGTAAATATCTCAACAGATCACTTACCCCTTTTAGTTCCAATAATTATGTAACTAATTAGATAGTTTTAGATTTTATGTAACTAATTGATTCTCTTGTAATCCTATAAATATCTCCTAACATTAATGAAAAAGTCTATGACATTATTCAGCAATTACAATTCTTTACATTAAATCGTAATGCCATTATTTACTAAAAACTAGAATTAAACACAGAGTAATTTCTGTTCGGCAAACTCAAGTTGCCTAGGTGCTTAAAACCCAATAAATCCGGATTTGGATCCTCTCCACTACAAAAAAGTAGTGGAGAGACCACTACTTTTAATCTCAAGCGTTGATTATTTAGTAGGCGGTTATGATACAATCTAAATCTAACACTTACTATACCCCCGTGTATTGCACTCATTCCTAATTTGCACTAAAAGAAAAAAATCATAACCATCAACTAGATAATAAATGACTGTGATTATTTAGTGGTCCCTCCACTATTTTTTTTGTAGTGGAGAGGATCCGAATCCAATAAATCCAAGGCAATCATGCCAAATAAAGGACAAATCCGAATCCTCTGCATTAAGAAGTGATCGAAAGATCGTTGCTTTTATTTATTTATTTTTAACAATAAAACATTTATGATTTAATTTATCGTGAGAATAAGCGCAATTCATAAAAATAATATAATTTATTATTGTTTTTAGGATATAATTTCATAATTGTTAATCACGATCCATTAATAATAGACGATTTATATCAGAGGCAGTGACCTTTCCGCTGCCTTTCTTTTTTTTTTCAATTGTGGAGGGGATCACACAAGCTCGTACGTGCGTCTTCAAGCTCCCCCGTCCCAATCCTAGCTTCCTCCAGTATTTATACACGCACCCAAACAACTCCTCTCCCATCACCCCAAGACCACCATCTCAATTAATGGCAGACCCCGCCCCATCGCCACCTTCACCCCAGACCAACAACATTCCCGAGGAAACCCCACAACTCATCAAGACCTACGAGCCTCCGGCTGCTCGATCTCCTACACAAACCCACCGCCGCCCCCCTTCCCCAGTCCTCTCTTCAGCAGCAAGCCCTGTGCAGCTCACCCCGCCACCCGCTTCATCCTCAGCCCGTCTCTTCACCGCCGCCCCCGCCAGACTCGCTGCCGTCGTCGCCCCAGCGGCGCAGGCAAGTCGACCGACTCCTCGACATCTCTCAGCCTCCTGCGTCGCCCCCTCGTCCGGCACCTCCTCCTCAACTCTACCCCCCTCCACCCTCCTGCCTTCCGCCGCCTCTCGCCTACGTCCCCCAGCACGACTCCTCCCTCCCCTCCTCACCGTCTCCGAGACCTCCTCTTCGCCGCCCGCCTCCTGCTGCCGACCCTCCCTCGTCGCCCGCCGTCGCATCCCTCCTCTCCGAGCTTCGCCTGTCGCACCTCGCAGACAAGAACCGCCTCTCCGACGGTTTGTCCGGCGGAAGAGCGCCGGCGCGTGTCGATCCGGGCTGAGCCTCCTGCCAATGATCCTGCCGTCCTCCTCCTGACGAGGCCGACGTCTGGACTTGACAGCACGTCCGCGTTCAATGTAGATCCAGTCGCTGAAGTCCATCGGCCGTGTGCGCGTCGGCGGACGTGATACTGTCGATCCATTCAAGCCAAGCTTTAAACTGCTGTCGGCCATTGACTCGATCCTGCTTCTCTCGAAAGGGTCAGTGGTCCACCACGGTGACGTTGCGTCGCTCGAGCGGTATCTCTACTCAGCTGGTTATAGTGTCCCGGCTCAGCTCAATCCGCTCGAGTACGCGATGGAGATCGTCGACCAGCTTCCGATCACAAAATCATCGGCATTTAGCCAGTCGTCACCCCCGCCGCCAGGGAAATTCAAGAAACGGGCGACGGAGGTGCGATACACGAGCTCGAGAGCTCGTGAGATCGCCACTCTATATATCCGCTTCTGCAAGATCATATACAGATCAAAGCAACTGCTATTCACAAACACACTCGAAGCTTTAATTGTCGGGTTTCTTCTAGGCACGATCTACATTCATGTGGACTACAACAAACAAGGAATGGACAACAGATTAGGGTTCTTCGCATTCACCTTGACCTTCCTCCTCTCCTCAACAACTGAAACGCTACCGATCTTCGTCAACGAGCGCCCGATCCTCCTCCGAGAGATTTCATCGGGGGTCTATCGCCTCTCGTCGCACCTCATCGCCAACACTCTTGTGTTCCTCCCTTACCTCTTCATAATCTCCCTTCTCTACTCCTTCTCCGTCTACTTCATCGTCGGTCTCTGCAGCTCGTGGACCGCCTTTGCGAACTTCGTCATGATCGTCTGGACTGTAATCTTAACCGCTAACTCTTTCGTTCTTTTCGTAAGTTCGATGTCACCCAATTATATAGCCGGGACGACGCTTGTCACTGTGTCACTCGCCGCGTTCTTTTTGTTCTCCGGGTATTTTCTGTCAAAGGAGAGTATGCCGGCGTATTGGTTGTTTATGCATTACCTGTCGCCATACAAATACGGGCTCGATGCTATGCTGGCGAACGAGTACGCTTGCGAGGCCGGACGGTGTTTCGAGTGGTCGGAGGAGGAGCGGGCGGTGTGTGTGGTGGCGGGGAAGGATGTGTTAGAGAGTAGAGGGTTAAGGGTGGGGCAGAGGTGGGAGAATCTTGAGGTGTTGGTGGGGTATTTTGTTTTGTACAGGGTTCTGTATTGGGTTGTGCTTAGTAGGAGAGCTGCTAGCAGTAAGAGATAGTTTTGTGCATGATGTTTTGGCTCGTGTTGATGTGAGAAGTGTAAACTCTCTGCCCGTGATAACTGATTTGTGGCTAATTTGTGCATTTGTACCAACATTAGTGCATCAGATACCATCAGAATTCTTTAAACATGTCTAGTTGAGGTAGTATATAATTTTTCACATGTAAGTGATATTATGTGTCGTGATTTGTACGTGCTTCTTTGATAAAAAATGTAGGAGACAGTGTATAAACATTCTATATGTGAATAACTCATTATAATTCATGAAAGTTAAATCGTCTACAGGGTCCGCGCAATCGGC